GGGGTACTCCAATTGCCTCACCCTGCATCCCTCCCTTCGTTCTTCCTTGCTTTTGATATTTTTTGAGAAAAAGGCTAATGTAGCCTAGCTGACTTCAGACTCATAATGTAACAGAGACTGGCCTTGAATTCTTGGTTCCCCTGCCTCTCAGATGTTGAGATTATAAGGTATATACCACTACACTTTTTTTTAAAATCTTTTTGAGACAGGGTCTCCCTGTAGCCCCAGCTGTCTTGGAACTCAGTATGTACATGAGGCTGGCCTTGAACTCACAAAGATCAGCTTGCCTCTGCCTCCCAAGTGCTGTAATTAAAGGCATGCGCCACCACGCCCGATCTATTTTTTGGTTTTTGAGACAGGGTTTTACTAGGTAGTCCTGGCTAGCCTTGAAGTCACAGAGATCCACCTGTCTCTGCCTCCGCCTCCTGGGTGCTAGAATAAAGGCATGTGCCACCATGCCTAACCAGGCTACACTTTCTATTATGTCTGAAGGTTCAACTTTGAGTATGATAATCCTCCCCTTAAGAATTCTTAAGAAAATTCTGCATCTTAAGAAAATTCCGCATCTTGGCAGCAGTTCTACCACAAATGGTAGATGGGGAAGACCTATGAATTTTTAAATTAATTAATTTATATATTTATTTATTTATTTATTTTTGATCTTTTTGAGACAGGGTCTCCCTGTAGCTCCACCTGCCTGGAACTCACTCTGTAGAGGATCCACCTGCCCCTGCCTCCCGAGTGCTGGGATTAAAGGTGTGTGCCACCACGCACGGCTATTATTATTTATGTGTGTGTTTTGCCTACATGTATGTAAGAGTACCATGTGCATGCAATGCCTGCAGAGGCCAGGAGAGGGCAACAAATCCCCTGGAACTGGTGTTAAGCCACCCTGTGGGTGCTGGGAATCGAACCTGGGTCCTCTACAAAAGCAGTCAGTGCTCTTAACTGCTGAGCCATCTTTCCAGCCCCTATGTGTAGGAAACCAGTAGAGGACATCAGATCCTCTTCCTCTGCCAAGGAACTGGAGTTACAGACAGTTGTTAGCTGCCATGTGGGTGCTGAAAATTGAACCCAGGTCCACTCCAAGAGCAGCCTGTGCTCTTAACTGCTGAGCCATTTCTCTAGCCTCTGGTTCTTTAAAAAATATTTTATTTATTATTTTTATTTTACTTTTTTTTTTTTGGACTTTTTGAGACGGTCTTGCTGTAGCCCTAGGTGTCCTGGAACTCACTATGTAGACCAGGCTGGCCTTGAACTCACAGACATCCGCCTGCCTCCCAAGTGCTGGGATTAAAGGCGTGTGCCACCACGCCCAGCCTATTTTATTTTACTTTTAAGATAACTACTTTATTCTGAAGAAGGCAGAGACACAAACATCCCAGGTGTCCTCAAGCTGTGACCACTTCCCCACCCAGGTACAGTGAGGGGCAAAGCATCTTCCATCTGGTTAGCTGTGCTGGTTACACCTGCCCCCTTCTGAAGGGTAAGTGTTGCTTCCCACCTGACAGATACCTACAGAATTACCATCTGAGACATGAAGTGTGCATTTTGTTGCACATGAATGCACACCAGCCCAGGGTTCCCACACCCCCACCCTGACAGAGTTAGGGAAAATTAAAGTGACTTGCTTACATTTTTGCAGCATCCATGTAAAAATCAATTTTACAGATTCTTTCAGTAAAGATTCTGATCAGGTAATCTTGCCAAGGAAAGATAACCTAGCATCAAGTCCATACATAAAAGCAGAGAAATGAGCAACCTTCTGATGGTGACTGCAGTGGGGCCTCACAAGGTACCATCACTCTTCATGGAGCCCCTATGCTGTTCTTTCCAGGAACTTCACATACTGTACCTGGGCATCAGAATGGTCAGCCATTTGGTTGTACAGCATCTACACGGGTTCTCCCACAGCCACATGGCCTTCACATGGTTCTTCTTGTCCAACGTGAAGCCATGATAATGCCAGTAGGAAGTGTGATCATGTCCCTCTTCTCCATGGAAGTCTGGATTCACCTGTCCTCCTTGTCCCTGACATCAAAGTGCCCACTGCCCTCTAGGATGTATCAGATCTCCTCATCCAGGTGCAGGTGTTCCTCAAAGAACATCTTGATCTTCTCTCTTTTTTCTGGGGGGGGTCTTTTTTTTGAGACAGGGTATCCTTGTAGCCCCAGCTGTCCTGGAACTCACTATGTAGACCAGGCTGGCCTCAAACTCTGCCTGCCTCTGTCTCTCAAGTGCTGGGATTAAAGGTGTGGGCCACCACGCCCGGCTTGATCTTCTCTTTGTAGTTTACTTTGTATATGATGATGACATCCATCCAGAAGTTGTTTCTCTCCCTCCAAATCTTTTCCAGTTCTGGATTATTCTCATACTTGTCAGCATCCAGCTTCCAGTAGGGTATGCCCAACCTGAACAGCAGTTGGGCTGGGAATGGTGGGGCAGCTGAGGGTCATCTGAGAACTCCTATTATTTTTATTTTATGTGTGTGCATTTGCCTGCATGCATGTAAGTGCATCATGTGCATACAATGCCCATAGAGGCCAGAAGAGGGT